TATTTGTTGTGTATATATGTATATATATATATATGTATATATATATATATATATATAAATAAAATTCTAGCGAATGAGCGTGATATATTTTCTCTTTCGCGCTAACACTTATCTTATAACCTCCTATCTACAGTTCCAAATGCACGATATGATGAGACTGGAGTCGTATGCGAAGAACATGGTAGATTACCACGTGTGCATGGATCTACTGCCCACCATTGCCCGTGCCTTCCTTCTTGATCGTATTCCCGTTAACCTCTCCATCATACAGACGGCTCTGTTAGTGGCAGTAGGGTATGTAATATGTGCTGTCCATTTGTTATTATTGTTATTATATTATTATGATTATGATTATGCTTCTTTTTATTATTATGATTATTATTATTATTTTTATTGTTGGTATTATTGATAGTGTTATTATTATTCATATTATTAATAAACGTGTGTTGTTTTATCTTCCGATCAATACTCAGGCTTCAACACCGATCAATCGACGAATTGTCTATTGAGCTAGGCCTGCCGGCCACCCAACTCTTAGCCTTATTCAACAGGGCCATGCGCAAGATAGTCGAGTTCTTCCGAACTGTTGAGGAACAGCACACCGGCAGTCTGTTGCCCTCGCAGAATAGTGCGCCTATAATGACAGCCAGGGCTACTACCGTGGACCAGGAGCTGGATGAAGCGGCTAAGGAGGTGAATGAGGACCTGAAGCGGAAACAGGACGAATTGATTAGTTCTCTGTCGCTCGAGGAGTATACGGTGGATGCGAATGTGATGGCGTTTGACGATGCGTTGAAGAGCGGCAAGGTGTGTATTAACTATATATGTGTGGGTGTCTATCATGGTGCATTATATATATATATATATATATAATATAGCAATATGTATATATATATATTATATACATATATATGTGTGTGTGGATTGATGGATTGATAGATTAAATGTATAATTTGACTTTTGTATCGCAGGCGCCCTCAACAATCAGTGTTAAATCCGGTAAAAGACCTGCAGACGACAAACCGAGCAAGAAAGCGAGTGACAAAAAATCAAAGACTTCGGATAAGCACAAAGGGAAGAAAAACAAAAAGCAGAAAACCTGAATTGCGAATATAGGAACCGCATACGTGAAATGTACCTTTATAATGATGTAAATAAATATAGTAGACATATTTTTTCGTATTTTAAAAATAATAATATTTTACTTTAAAGTAGACGGGCTAGAATATATGAATTAAATCTGCACTTGATGCGATGTTGAGCGGATACAGAGTTGCGGAGTACACTATCCACATTTATACATCACAGGACAAACAGACGCATACTCTTCGGATAAGTACAAATGGAAAAGATCGAAAAGAATTGATTTATTTGACATATGTCCGCATCGTCAGGACGAAGCGTACTTCGAACAGTTAGTTGTTTCAGGTATAAATCAGGCCTACATACAACTTATAATTAACAAATGCCTTGTTATTTCCGGACGATAGTTCCCAATTCTATCATGCGGACGATAATTCCCAAAGAATTTGTGTTTTGGACCTAGAACGATCACGAACAAATACACTTTCCGGTTGTATCGGTTATATATACAGAGACGACTATCCACCACGTACACATGTGAATAAAGCTAGTAGTAGAGTATTGCGGAGATTGCATCCTGTGTGTATGTAAAAGAAAAGACAGAGAAAGTACCTTTGCGTCATCTTTAATTCAAACCGAAACAATAGTAAAGGTAGTATTAAACGTATACGTACCAAACGGAGCATCACTCACAGAGCCGCTAAACACCCTACACCTCTCCTAACACGTCTGGGTAGCCTCCACAGAGGGTTCGACAGTCTTATTCTTCCCAGTAGCCTCGGTCTCCCCGTTCTCGACCGCGGGCATCTTCTTCTGCCGCGTATGTTTGCCGTGGTGCGTTGCACAGAACACCTTATCTTCGTGGGTTAGCACACCATTGGGGTCCAACAGCTCCTGACACTCGTCGTCTTCACAGATGAAGCAGTCGTTGTGCCACTTGCGCTCCTTGATGCGCGAGAAGGTGAACCCTTTCTTGTCTGAGATGATGGGCTTCTTGCAGTCCTCACACTTGTCGCGGTAGTTCTCCACAAAGCACGGCTCACACACACGGGTGTTCTTCTCGGCGTTTGGATAGAATTTCTGAGGTGGTGGTGGTAGATTGTGAGGATCAGACAGTGTATATAATATCAGTA